AGGAGAGGAAAAAGTAACTTATTTCTAGCGGCAGAACAGGTTGGAAGATGGCTGTTTGATGTTATTTATTGTTTTTAAAATCATCCTATAGGCTCTGACATGTTAGATAAATTTGAAAATGAGGTTTTTAAAATATCCTTAAGACTTGAAAAAATCCGTGAGAAAGAGCCTCATGGCTCTTTCCTTATACTGGAAGACAGCTATGTTTTCCATCGTTCCTCCTGCAGCATAATTTTGTCCTGTTTCTTACAAGGAAATGCCTTTTTGGTGAAATGCCATTTTTTTTGTGTCAGGCTGTTCCGCCTGAAACCTGAAACATCATCTTCGCTGTGAGTTCTTCAAAGTTCCTGGTGGACCTGAATGCTGCCACACAGTTGGTATCTCTGAGTCCATAAGGAACTTGTTTGCCCATTCGCCTGACCAAGAGATGCCCGGCCTATGCTGTCCTACAAGCATCTGCCCAGAGCTACGTCTGGTCTCATGTGGAAGGTCTCCGGACTACGGTAAAAGCTGAAACGTTGGCTCATCTTGGTCCCAGGCCCATTCGCTCACAGCCAAACATAATCTAGCCTTAAACCCTTAAGCTTTAAGGGATATATTTGTCTGTTCGTCTTCTGTCTCTGTCTCTCCCACTCTCTCCCTCATACTGTACATATATACCCACACACACACACACCGACCCTTTTGTACATAAACTGCTTTTGCCTATTTAATACTGTTAGACAGATTGCTTAAAAGCATGAACCAATAGTGTTATATTGCGAGCCCATTTATTGTTTTGATTGTTGTAACCAAATATTAATCATTCAATAATACTCTCTTTAATAAAAGTCAGTTAACTTTAACTGGCCAAAATAAACCAGAACGACTGTGTGTTGTCTGTATTGTGGTGATTGATTGTCTTGTTCAACAGATACCATCTTGAACCGGGGAGGGATACTCTTAATTAAAATCATATTTATGATTTTTAACGAGGGTTCTCTCTACATTTCTCAGTCCTCAGTAAAGCTAGATATTTTTAAATAATAAAGCATTGCATAAAGTTCACTTATTTTGCCATATTTGAATTATTATGTGGAAGTCTGGGAAACCTACAAATCCTCACTCTGACTGTTTTGCACTCTCCAGAAAAGAGCCATCAGAATGGTTCATAAGGCAGGCTTCCAGGATCACACTACTGAGTTATTCACCAAATCCNTATTTTTTACATCTTGTTTTTAATAAGCATTACTTAATCATTTTACTAGTTTAACAATGTTTATTAGTTTACTAATAATAGTTCATAATTAATCATTATATAATTGAAATATTAATCTAATGTTCTTTGAGTTGAGTTAGTCTGCTCAATGTTTGTTAAAGGTTCGTGTGTTGTTTTGATTTCTTAGCCTTGGGTCCACACAATACAAAGACATATACACACACACACATGTTTCGGTTCTCGTGAGAACTCTCCAATACACTGACCACCTGCAGATACCACCCCCTACACACACAGTTCTTCCTGTGTCTTTAAAACTTTTCCGTTACTTCCCGTTCGTCAGTCTTTCTGCTCATCTGCTCTCCCTACCGGGACACGAGGTGCAAGCCGCCTCATGGCTCTTTCCCTGTACTGGAAGACAGCTATGTTTTCCATCGTTCCTCCTGCAGCATAATTTTGTCTTGTTTCTTACAAGGTAATGCCTTTTTGGTGAAATGCCATTTTTTTGTGTCAGGCTGTTCCGGCTGAAACCTGAAACATCATCTTCGCTGTGAGTTCTTCAAAGTTCCTGGTGGACCTGAATGCTGCCACGCTGTTGGTATCTCCGAGTCCATAAGGAGCTTGTTTGCCCATTCGCCTGGCCAAGAGATGCCCGGCCTATGCTGTCCTACAAGCATCTGCCCAGAGCTACGTCTGGTCTCATGTGGAAGGTCTCCGGACTATGGTAAAAGCTGAAACGTTGGCTCATCTTGGTCCCAGGCCCATTCGCTCACAGCCGAACATAATCTAGCCCTAAAACCCTTAAGCTTTAAAGGATATATTTGTCTGTTGTTCGTCTTCTGTCTCTGTCTCTCCCACTCTCTCCCTCATACTGTACATATATACCCACACACATACACACCGACCCTTTTGTACATAAACTGCTTTTGCCTAGTTAATACTGTTAGACAGATTGCTTAAAAGCATAAACCAATAGTGTTATATTGCAAGCCCATTTATTGTTTTGATTGTTGTAACCAAATATTAATCATTCAATAGTACTCTCTTTAATAAAAGTCAGTTAACTTTAACTGGCCAAAATAAACCAGAACGACCGTGTGTTGTCTGTATTGTGGTGAATGATTGTCTTGTTCAACAGATACCATCTTGAACCGGGGAGGGATACTCAATTAAAATCATATTTATGATTTTTAACGAGGGTTCTCTCTACACTTCTCAGTCCTCAGTAAAGCTAGATAATGTTAAATAATAAAGCATTGCATAATGTTCACTTATTTTGCCATATTTGAATTATTATGTGGAAGTCTGGGGAACCACCTACAAATCCTCACTCTTACCGTTGTGCACTCTCCAGAAAAGAGCCATCAGAATGGTCCATAAGGTAGGAGTTATTTACCAAATCCAGCTTGTTCAAACTCTTAGACCTGGTTGAATTTAAAACAGCTCAAGTGATGAATAAAGCTAGGAACAAACAACTAGATAATATACAGAAAACTTTTATGGATAGAGTGGAGGGTTATGATGTCAGGGGAAACCTTAATTTCAGAACCAGGAGTGTTCAAACAACTATGAAAGGAATGTGCACCTCAGTCAGTGGTGTAAGGGTCTGGAATAAATTCAATCAGGAACTGATGCAATGTCCAAACATGAGTTTGTTTAAGAAAAGGCTCAGATTAATGATTTTTGACAAGTGTAGGAATGATAATCTGAGGTAAACGTAAAATGTGTGTCTCAGTGCTGTATATGAAATTGTATATATGAGTATGACTGTGTAATACCTCTGAACTCGTAAAGTTCTTAATTATCGCTGTCATTTTTCATGAATGGACACTTCCTGACATCTGAGGCAGGAAACATAGACTTATATGGTGTTTTTGGGGTGGTAATTATGCTAATCTCCTCTCGCGTGCACGAGCAGCTGGATACGAACAGGTGGAATTGACGCTCCTCATTTACACCCTTTTCCTGAAGATAGAAGAGTTTGTTGAATCTGACGTGACATGTTCATACGAACCCTTTGTACGAACAAAAGTAAGAGAAATTTAGGATAAGAATACGAACATGTTCTTGCATGAGGCCCATTGCTTTCATACTGAACACCATGGTAACAGAGTAGTGCGTGGTCACTCTAATATTCATCCTCCAAAGACTAGACCGTCTCATTTAACAGCTGTTATATTCAGCCTACCAGGACTTCGAAGTGTGTGGTCTCTGTGGACCACGGTCTTTGTGAAAGAAATGAGACACAGCTATAATGTGCAAGTAAACTTATTTTGAATCTATCTTATAAATATTTGCAAATAAATATTTTTTAATTCATGCTTACTCAGAAAGAATATGAACATTATTTATCCATTTAATTTGGGAAGAAAACAGACAAAAAACATGAAATGATGCTTCACATGACCACAAGTATTACATTATATAAGGAAGACTTACTGTATTTCAACAGAACAGAATTCAATAATACTCCGTGGTTTTATTGTGACTTCATCATTTAAGTTTTATTTAAAGTCCCTGGCTTTTATAATCAAAAATAAAACATCAGTTTAATGTATTTTTATTTATTACTAAGACAAGAGTAATATCGAGCTGTGGTTTTACAGCAGAAGCTAAGCATAACAAATGGAAAAGGAATTTACTGATGTGACTGTTAAGTTATTACTTCCTACACTACAAGAAATTAGCATAACAGTATAATGGTGGCTGCATCCATTGTAAGGCACATGTCAACATATAATGATATCAGTCAAGCAAAGCTTAGTTACACTAGTTGTTTCTTTGGTTCCTAAAAGATAACAGACAACATATTATTATGTATTTACTTGTACATGCCATAAATCAGGTTTGTTCTTTATTCTCAAAAAGTGTCAGTAAATTGGAGTGACATAATTCTTCAATGGGATTATGGGTTTTTTACTTTGTCTTCATAAGTGCCACTACCCTTATAAGCCGATACGTATCCACTGGTGTCTGGGACGTCCTCACGCCCCGACTTTCCTTTGCCTTTGCCCGAGTCATCAAAACGCTCCTTGTGTGAACCGGTGTACTTGGTTGTATCGGTCAGTCTGTCCACGGCTGCTGCCTTCGCCACTTTCTACAATCAAAATGGATTATTATCAATTTTAAATAAATCTCTGAGAAAGCAAACTCACAACTAAACACACAAACACACACACAAACAATAATAGAAAGATGTCTGATATATTGAGAAGAGCATGGGAGGAACTCCATCTTCTGGTCTAAATATAAATAACACATGGGCAGACAAATTTCAGGATCTGTGTCAATGCCACACAGATTTAATACGGTGGGGGGAAAGCATTTAGTCAGCCACCAACTGTTCAAGTTCTCCCACTTATAAAGATGAGAGAGGCCTGTAATTAACATCATATTTAGACCTCAACTATGAGAGACAAAATGAGAAAACATATCTAGAAATTCACATTGTTTGATTTTTTTTTTTTACTTTTTTTTTGCAAACTATGGTGGAAAATAAGTATTTGGCTAATACAAAACAAGCAAGATTTCTGTCTCTCACAGATCTGTAACTTCTTTAAGAGGCTCCTCTGTCCTCCACTCATTACCTGTAGTAATGGCACCTGTTTGAATTTATCAGTATAAAAGACACCTGGTCACAACCTCAAACAGTCACACTCCAAACTCCACTATGGTGAAGACCAAAGAGCTGTGTAAGGACACCAGAAACACTGTAGACCTGCACCAGGCTGGGAAGACAGAATCTGCAACAGGAAAGCAGTTTGGTAGAAGCAACAATTAAAAATGGAAGACCTAATCCCATTATTAATCTCCCTCGATCAGGGGCTTCATGCAAGATCTCACCCTGTGGGGTCAAAATGATCACAAGAACGGTGAGCAAAGATCCCAGAATCACACAAGGGGACCTACTGAATAACCTGCAGAAGGCTGGGACTAACAAGGCTACCGTCAGAAACATACTACACCACCAGGGACTCAGATGATCCTGCAGTGTCAGACGTGTCCCCCTGTTTAAGCCAGAACATATCCAGGCCCATCTGATGTTTGCTAGAGAGCATTTAGGTGTTCCAGAAGAGTACTGGCAGAATGTCATATGGTCAGATGAAACCAAAGTASAACTGTTTGGTAGAAACACAACTACTGTTGAGCATGGGGGTGGCAACATCATGCTTCAAGGCTGTTTCTCTGCAAAGGGACCAGGACGACTGGTCCGTGTACATGAAAGAATGAATGGGGCCATGTATTGTGAGATTTTGGGTGCAAACCTCCTTCCATCAGCAACGGCACTGTTACGACCCGACTCAAGACCGCAACATAAGATGGAGGACTTGACACAATAAAAGGTTCTAATACCCGACAGGGATTTTCTTAAGAAAATTTCTTGGAGAAAAGAAGAAAGTCTTCAATGAGTCTGGTGGGGTTAGATCCACCAGAACCATGTCGGTTTAGTCTCACCAATCCAAGTGTTAGTCAGGTCCAACCTCTCATGACTGGACCAGCCTTGGAGGTGAGAAAGCTCGATTAGCTCTCTGAATCCTTGGCCACGTCTCCATCGTCAGTGCCGACAGCAACACTCCAGTTGTCTATCAGCACCCACTGTTACATGATGCTTTAAGCAGCCGCCAAATGACCGCTCTGAATGTTCGTCTCGAGTAGTCGCTTCCCATAAACAACGCCGTCTGTGCACCTCGTTGAGCTAACGTTGAGTGTTGTCTTCGACAATAATCCACGACAGCTTGTAAAAGCAGCTTCAGCTGCTGAACTCTGCATTCGTCGAATATTTCTCTGTTTGCGTTCAGTAGCCAACACACATCCTGCTTTCACCTCCTCCTACTCCTTTTCTTCTCAGCACTCAGGTGCGCACTTAAAAGGTGCCCAGGCCACACCCCCTATAGAAAAACCTAGTAGGAAGCACAATTAACACAAATAGGCAGTAGCTGGGCCGTCACAGCACTGAAGATGAAACGTGGCTGGGTCTTTCAGCATAACAACAATCCCGAGCACACTGCCAGGGCAACAAAGGAGGGGCTTCGTAAGAAACATTTCAAAGTCCTGGAGTGGCCTAGCCAGTCTCCAGATCTCAACCACAAAGAAAACCTTTGGAGGGAGTTGAAACTCCATGTTGCCCTGCGACAGCCCCAAATCATCACTGCTCTAAAGGAGATCTCCATGGAGCAATGGGCCAACATACCAGCAACAGTGTGTGCCAACCTGGTGAAAACTTACAGAAAACATTTGACCTCTGTCATTGCCAACAAAGAATATATAACAAAGTATTGGTTATTGACCAAATACTTTTTGCCCACCATAATTTGCAAATAAATTATTTAAAAAATCAGACAATGTGATTTTCTAGATATGTTTTCTCATTTTGTCTCTCGTAGCTGAGGTCTAAATATGATGTTAATTGCAGGCGGTGGGAGAATTTGAACAATTGGTGGCTGACTAAATACTTTTTTCCCTACTGTACATGTGCATACGTTATCTGAAATCTGGCAAACTTTCTGTGTGAAAACATTTTCACATTCCATGTTCCTTTTTACGTTTTGTTCAGGAAAATGACCATTGTTCCAAGCACAGAATGCTGTACTTTACTAAGACATTTTTCAGCTTGCTGTCCTTGAGCTGTATTTAATATACTGAGGGAAAAAAGTATAACAAAGGGAAATAAGAGTGAACGTAGTAAAAAGAAAACATCATGAACATAAGAGATAAAATGGTTATTAAAGGCCCTGTCACACTAGACAACTTGTGAACATTTTAAAGACATCTACATTGAGGATGGAATTGAAAAAATCAGCAGGAAGCTTTTTTTCTGTGTGTACATAATGCAATTCTAACAAACTGATAAAATATACAACTTTTATTGGCAGTTTAGACAAAAAAATGATTCATAAGTTTGCATAAGTTGTCTAGTGTGACAGGACCTTTAGAAACTGGTCTTGAGCTTCCTGTTCTCACTCTCGTCAGTGAGTAAAACTCTTACTTTTACTTTTAATAGTATTTCTGTATTATTCATTTCACACTTATTCACACAGTACTTTTTGATTTAGTTGAAATTAAACAAAAAAAACATCAAAGTTTATTTCAACTGGCTCTATGTGGGCAACCTCACATGTGACCCTTGGTGAAATTGATTTTGACACCTTTTGGATTACATGTCCTATTGATATATGTTTAGTTAGAGCTATCGATTCAAAAGTCTTTTGCACACATTGACACACAAATAGAGATTTTAGATATTGTGATTTTAACTCACTGTGACTCCAGCATTGGCAGGTTCCTTCCCAACAATGAGCCCGTAGATCTGCTGAAGTGCCTCCTCTTTGCTCTTGCCTTTAAAGCGCTTTGAAGCCAGCTCAGTCAGGGCTTGGCTGAACTGCTCAAATGTAATTACACGAGCAGAATTTGCCCTAAAGAAACACACAGCACAGCACAGTAAAACAAATGTAGACAAACGTCCTGTTCCACTGTGGCTACAAGATCGTATTAGTTTGTCAGAACAGACCTTCGCATGAAACAAAACAAAAAGAATACACTGTTTCATTTAGAAGTACACATAAATATTAAAACACAAATGCACACAGCAAAAATGCCAGTGTTAATTTAACACCCACAGTGTTAATTTTAACACCAGCAAAGTGTCTATATGTGTCCACACTCACTGGTGTTAAAATAACATATGTGAAAGTGTTAAATTTTAACACTCATTTTTTGTTGATTTATCACCAACCAGTGTTTAATATTCAACAATTCTTGGTGTCACATTAACATAAAAATAGTGTTAGTGTTAAAATATAGTGTTAAAAATAACACCAGCCAGTGTTAAATATTCAACAATACTGGGTGTCGTATTAACATTTTAACAGTGTTAAAATAAAGTGTTGAAAGTATCACCAGTGTATTATTATTAACAAAGGGAATTGTGGTGTTTGTAGCTTAACAGACACTACAAGGTGTCAGTACACCATAAAACTGAGAGTATAAATTTTACAATCAGAGTTAATGTCAAACTCTGTAGCGTTGCATTAACACTGCTCAGTCGTTAGTGAAAAGTGTCATGGAGACACTCTTCACACACCAGGATGTACCTCTCACTCATGGTGTCAATTTTTGGCCAATAACATAAACTTAAAGTTGAACAACTTGATCAAACTGAACAAGAAAACTAACCAGAACAACTAATTTTTACTCTCATGAACGTCTTTAATGGTCATAAACATGCAAAAACATCATTTCTACAAGATTTCTCAGCAACGAATGCTGGGTAAATGCTGGTCTGTCTGACATGAGGTGGAAGAGGGCGGGGCTTTTCTGAAAACTTCTTTCAACACTGCATGGTGTTATACATGTATAGCTACACTGTTAAGTGTTATATAAGACTTAACTGTGGGAGGAGCTTATTTAACACTGTCCAGTGTTGAGACAACACTGAGGAAATCAACACTGTGAATTAACACCAACACTGGGTGTGAGTGTACTCAGAAAGTGGTAAAATAACACTAGGGGGTGTTAAATCAACACCCAAAAGTTTAACACTGAAATTTTAACACTCCCGTTTTTGCTGTGCAGATATCTGCAGCATTTTTACTGAGCTATAAATATTTCGCCTTTGGAACGTTTAAAACTGACTTCAATCTTACTTGACTTTGCTGAAAACGATATCAACATCGGTAGTGGTGACATTCTTGCCATCAGTGATGTGGCAGTCTTTGCAAAGCTTAGCAAAGTTTTTGCCGTTCATCTCCTTCCCAGTGGCTTTGGTGTCTCCGTGAACTGCAAACTTTTGGAAGGCGCTCTTCACCTCTGCTGTGGACACTGAGCCTTCTGCCATGCTTCGGGTCAGCTAAACCAATAAAAATGATTGGTATAAAAAAGAATTAGAATATGTAATGAAACAGTGTCATATTCATGAAATAATAATGAAACGACCATTCACAATTTCTGCATAACAGCTTATGAATTATTAAACAGACAATCAGAGCAGATAAAGTGGCCTTGAACTTCATTTGATTTTTCGTATGTACATTCTCATAAAAAAAATTTTTCAAAATTAAAAACTTCAATCCAATTTAAAAGGGCTCTGCTTGCCAAAAAAAACTATGGTGTGATTTGCTTTTCGCATTGACCGCACACACATTCGCTGACACACACTTTCAGCATCCATCATTATGTGAGCGTTACTGAGGCTGCTCTCAAGCCAATTTCATTCAATTAAGTCATTTTCCAAATGGCTTCTTTGCTTTTTGGACTGCAGTGGTTTACCGCCATGCTCTGCTCTTTTTTCTTCCTTTCTTTGTTATTAGTAAGTGGTCTGTTTAAAAGTAGGCGGAAATGTTATAGGAACATAGAGTTTATAAAAACAGTTGCTAAACCCTTAGATTAAAAAAGGGGATTTACATGAGCATTTATAATCTGTTTCTCCAAAACAGCTAATAGTAGCTTCGTAATAAATGACGTTTTTGAGGCAGCTTGTTGCGCATTGATGGACAATCTTTCAATTGTTTTTTACAGTTTTTGATTTTTTTTTTCTTCATTGTCAGAAACAAAATTAATCTTAAAGGTAAACAACCTATTGTGATAACACTGCAAAGCAAAATCAGTCTTAACTTACAAAAAAACTGTAAACACCACACTCTAAAAATGAAATGTTGGATTTACTTAACCATGTTATGATACCTGGTTCCACTTTGAGTTGAGTAAATTCAAAGCAACATATGTTCTTTGGCTAAAAAACTGGTATAATGCTTTGAATTTACTCAACTCAAAGTGGAACCAGGTATCATAACATGGTTAAGTAAATCCAACATTTCATTTTTTACAGTGCATACAGACATGACTAAAATAAACACCAGCTTTGCATTACTGATGCATGAACTGACCCGAGATAACAACTGGCCCTGTAATGTTTGCTTTGTGCTGTTATTGTGATATTTGTTCTCCCTCTTATGGTTCCTGCTAGGATCTGCACTCATAGCAGTGATGTCTAAATCCACGGAACACGACACGTACCTGTAAAGGCAGGGATGTGGCGTAAATTTTTAAGGAACCGCCCGATGAGCTGCTTTGCCTCTGCTCTTCCTCCTCGTCCTCTAGTTCTCCTCCTTCCTGCCACGCCCAGGCTTTTTCCTAGTAAGGAGAGATGCAGAGAGGCAAGAGGAGAGAGGGAAAGGGGGAGGGGGTGGGAGGAGGGAGAGAGTACCGACCACCACAGTCAGTGACATCATTGGTCCTCACCCACTCTGGTGTCTGTTCAGCCCTCATTAGTTTCCTTTTCTTTTTAGACTGGCTTTGTCATTGAGATTTACAGCATTGTGTTGTGTTTTTACTTTGTTTTTTTATTTTAAGTTTTGTTCCATGATGTATGTGTTTTGAAATATGAGCTCAAAAAAGGAACATTTTGTTAACTTTATTGGGGGGAAATAGTACAGATCCTTCTAACTCCTCTTCAAGAGTGACTTCCCGTTCCAGCTATCTATGGCACTTTTAACACAAACTATTTAAAAATTCCTGGTTTTGGTATTTTTCTTATAACTTTCATTGTCACAAGAGCTCCACTGTGGTGAAGATGAGAGAGGCTCTTCACAGAACAATGAGGGCTGACAGCATAAAATTATGTGTTACAAGGATTTCCTGTTTGCCTTTCAGCTTCATACTTTTAAAGCTGAATATGTGAAGAACGGAAAAAAAGAGATGAGCTTAAACAAACGACTTTAGCTTCCTTTTATAAATTAAAGTGTAAATGTCCAAAAGCAGGAATTTTAATAATAAATGTGGTGCCATTCAGTCATGAACTAAAACGATTAAAGTAAAAAGGAGGGAAAAAAAACATTTAAAAAAGTTTTGCCTAATTCTCAATGCCCACGCACATGTGTACTAACAAAAAATAGCTTTTTGAAGCATAAAGTAGCATATTCTTTTCTTTCTTTTTTCTTTTTTTGTTATTGTAGCAGAGAAGATCATTACAGAAGCAGAGGCAGAACAAGATAGTGTAGGACAAACTCAGAAATGAGAAGACAAATGTGTTAGCAGAGTTTTATTCTTATGTGTGTGTTGTTAAGTGGCTGAAGCGCATCTTTAAGAGTTAGAGTAATTTTTTTGTTTGTTTACAGAGAGGTGAGGGAGGTAAAGGTATCTAAAAATAAGCTATTTACAGTATCTTTTGGCAATTTAAAATATACATGCAGACTTTTCATTAGACCCTTGGAAAAACATGTCATATTGTTCTTAAATCTTTTTAATGGAACAGCCATTTAGGAGCTGAATGAGCAGGCTCTATTAGACCTGACTAAATTTTACTTTCTACAAACGTAAAATGGCCTAAAACAACTGGTGTGCTTTTTTTACATGCTTATACTGTATGTTGACTGTCACATTTATCACAAGTGTCCAAATATTGAATAAAATTAATCTACAGTTTGTGAAATATATATATTTTACTGTTTAAGTATTAGACTAAGATTAAAAAAGTTTGTATTATTGTTTCACAATTTGCTTTTGTAACTCTATATATTTTGTTGTAAGTTTCAGACATGTTCTTATGAGATCCCTCATGTTTTGTATTTTGTTCCCATTACAAACAGGAACGGTTGTTTTGACATCAGGCGCCAGCATGAAACTTGTTACTCGGTCAATGTGAAGGACACCGTCTTCTGATTATATAATATGGAAAATTACAATCAGCATTAAGGTCAGGATGTATGCACAGGATGAGCTATCTGACAGATTTTATGTCCTGTATATTATCTTATGGGTACACAACTTCTGCTGATCTGACATATATTGTAATTTGGTTTATCTATATGAAAAAAATGCAGCAAAACATACAATTCAAGACACAAATCAACTTTCTTTTCCTAAATTTAATTTGGTTTAACAATGATTATTACTTCATGTCAAAGAATATGATTGTCTATTCCTAAATATATTATATTGTCATACATATATTGTAATACACAAAAATATGACAACATATAGTATTAGTTCATTTGAAATGTTACATCTTATAAGACACTCTTTTGTTTTGTAGAGGGATACTAATTTCCTGACAACTCAAACTTTTGTGAGTTCAATGAGCAAAACCTGTCTTGGATGCAGAACTTTTTTGTTTAGAAAATGGAAAACTGGTTGTGTGGGAAGACATCGCCTGCTGTTTATAGTAGAAACAAAGTCTTATCTTTAAATGTCAGCAGAAAAGAGTGTTGTCTTGTTAGGAAAGAAGCAGTAGTGTCTGAAGAAGCAGTGGAGAAACACTTGGCGCTCTTGTCGGACTCAGAACTCTTGACCTTTGTTTTTTTAAATTACACCGGCACAACTGGGAATCAGTTTTTGATGTGTTTCATTCAGCATCATGGCTGACTCAAGCTTCCCATTACCTCCAGATTCTTTCTGCCCTCTGTGTGCAGATGGACTGAGGGACCCGGTCACCATTCCCTGCGGCGACATGTACTGCCTGGAGTGCATCAAGATCTACTGGGACCAGTTTGACCACATGGGCGTGTACAGCTGCCCTCAGTGCCGGGCAACCTTCACACCACGACCCGTCCTGAGACGTAACATACCAGACGTCCAGCAGCAGCCTCACCAGCGTCTTCCAGAGCTCACTCCTTTTCCCGAAATGCGCCGGGACTCTTACTGTGACTTTTGCGTCGGCAGGCGCAACAAGGCTGTAAAGTCTTGCCTGGTGTGCCTGGCCTACTATTGTGAAACGCACATCAAACCCCATTATGAGTCAAGCACGTTCAAGAGGCACAAGCTGGTGGACGAGACGGGTCACCTGGACCGCAAGATCTGCCCCCAACACGAGAAAGGCCTTGAGCTGTTCTGTCGCTCTGACCAGATGTGTATCTGTGTTCTGTGCACAGTCAGAGAACACCGCAGCCACAACATCACTTCAGCTGAGGAGGAGCGCATCGAGAAACAGGTAGGTTTCACCTGTTTGGGTCAGACGTGAGGGATGCATTTGGCTTCAAATTGTTTGAAAGTCGAACACACAACATGTAATAATTATTGTGGGGGGGTACGCAAAATTGACTTTTTTAAGCATTACATCATGTTATAATGTCATTCTCTCATCAAAACCAAGTGTTGCTTTGACTCATTCATGCATGTTTGAGAAATCCTTTAAATCCTTGAATCTCCTGAGGTGGACTTGCTGGTACAAAGCCCCGCCTATTTGTATATAGTTCCTCCCTGAAGCTCAGTCTGCAGCCGAAATAGTTGTTTACAAATGACTATAAATTCTTTGCAAAACGTATCTTAAAAATGGTAAACGTTCCTGATTTCATTGCAAAATATAGCTCTACAATAATCTACATTGTAGTATCTGTGAAAGATAGCTTAACACTGATGTAAATGTATGAAAGGATGAGCGGGAGATACATTACCATGCTAAAATGTGTTGGAAGAGCCTCTGTACTACAGTGCTGACATGGGATCACTCAAGGAAGGTTTAATTTTATCCTGCATTGCCATTTTCCAAAACTAATATTATAAAATGTTGCTTCTGTTTTTACAATTAAATGCAGCTCTGTTACGAAAGGTTGTAAACAGAATGAAGCATTGTTGAAGTGGGAGTGTCAGAAACAGAAGGAAGTTCTTAAAGGGATCCCTGATTAGTTGTAACATTAGACTTTATTTGATAAACATATATTTTAACTGTAAAGTAAAAACTGTAAAAATACTGTAGGCTGTTTAGTTTTGTACATTTTTAAAAATATATTTTAACATAGACAGAGCCCTTTTATTTACATGCAAAGCATTCTGGGTAAATGATGACATGGATAGGTCCTCGGTGTGAGCGAGCTATATCCACCCTGAAGGTTAATCTTGGACAATATCTGATGATCGACTCTTTTAAATGAAACCAGAGAGCGTTGACAGAGAGGAGAAGGTAGAAATGACTCAGCCTGGAACTGAAAATATGGATGGAGGACAACAGAGCTGCTTCATGGAAGAAGAACCTCAGTTTAGCTTGTTACCCTTCGCGCTAGCACCGATGCTATATTGCCTTATATGTATTAGCTCGGTGCTAGTGCGACAAACAAGCTAAACTGAGGTCCTCCATCCATATTTTCAGTTACAGACTGAGTCATTTTTACCTTCTCCTCTCTGTCAACGCTCTCTGGTTTCATTTAAAAGAGTCGATCATCAGATATTGTCCAAGATTAACCTTCAGGGTGGATATAGCTCGCTAGCAGCCTCGCACCAATGACCTATCCATGTCATCACTTACCCAGAATGCTTTGCATGTAAATAAAATGGCCCCATCTGTGTAATATATTTTTAAACTTTTAGTTTAAAAATTATTAAAACTAAACATCCTACAGTATTTTTACAGTCTTTATTTTACAGTTAAAATATATGTTTATTAAATAAAGTCTAATGTTACAACTGATCGGGGATCCCTTTAAAGCGACCAAAGCAAATTTCAAGGCATTTAGATAGACTATTAGGCAAAGTCAAATTTATTTTTTTATACATACAGCATTTTCATAACAACTGAAGATAATAGTTACTTGATTGTGGTATAGAGTTGAAGTATATGCCTGGGAAAACCATGTTATGTGATGTCATCAAAATGCTGAAATCTGCAGTGTCTTACCATTATTTTTTATGTTTTTTTTAAATCAGAAAATTCTGGTCGTGACTCAGTCTGAGGTGCAGCACATCACTTCAGAGAGGAAGAAAGAGCTGCAGGAGCTCAAGCACAACGTCGAGGTTCTAAAAGTAAGTCAGACATGAACTCGTTAAACAACAGTTTCACGTTAAACACGGCTGTTGAACTAAAAGGCCCTGACAAGTTGACTTCACCTTCCAGAACGCTGCCCACCGTGCGCAGACAGAAAGCGACAAGACCTTCCATGAAATGCTGCAGGCGGTTGAGCGCTGGAAGGCAGAAATCAACCAGATGATAATGTCCAACTTGCAGGCAGCAATGTCACAGGCTGAAGGCTACGTGGAGCGCCTGGAGCAGGAGATCATGGAGCTACAGCGCCGAGATGCAGAACTGCGACAGATCCTTGAAACAGAAGACAACATTCACTTCCTGCAGGTGCCTGAAGAATGGACAGAAACTAGCATCTTAACTTTATACAATATACGTTTGATTGGGTTATTTATTTAAGATTGTTTAACTTTAAAATTATAAGGTTGGCTGAAGCAATTTATCATCTTAGTGAAGGCAGACAAGATGGATAAAGTTTGAATCAAATCCAAACCAATGTCTCAACTTGTGTTTTCCAGTTGTTTGACACTGTTTTGGCTCTTCTTTTTGAAACAGAATTTTCAGACTCTGTGCGTCCCTCCTGAGGCCATGGTCCCAAAAGTCCTCATCAACCCTCAGTTCTCCTTTGGGGAGATAAGCAAAACAGCCACAGAGATGAAGGAAAACCTTGATGACATCTGCAAAAAGGAATTGAGCAAAATCTCGAAAATAGGTATGTTTTTTTTTTTCAAACAAAATAACATCTGAGTGGCAGCAGTAAGAGATCGAACTAACTCAGAGAATCTTCACAGTTAGTGAAACTCCTGTCTACATCCTTTTGCCAAGAAATGGAGACAAACGCCTCAAAGGTAAGTTTGTCCACATTATCATCTCAATTAGCTGTAATAAGTACATCTACTCTTCCTGGAGTCCGTCAAACATAATGCTCACTAAAACAGGTTCTTCACCAGCCTTCACAGTACCACCAAAACAGTGACATAGTTCAACAAAAAATAAATAAAGTTTAAACTTTAAGAATAGCCAAACAGATTTTACACGATAAACATATTGTCATTTCCAAACAGTTCCTTCCAGAGTTGACTTTCAGGAGCCAAAAATGAGAGGCGACTTCCTCAGATGTGAGTGAGGTGTTCATGTTTTTGGTTTATGCACCACCAAAAAGCATCCTGTTAGATTTGTGGATAAATGTTTTAAAATTTGCATGTCATGGATGTTTTTTTTCTCTCTCTCAGATTCATGTAAGCTATCCTTCGACCCAAACACGGTCTACAAAGAGCTGCTCTTGTCAGACGGGAATCAGAGGGTTACTCGAAAGAAAACCACCCAGTTTTACCCGGATCATCCCGAGCGTTTCGACGGCTTTTCCCAGGTGCTGTGCAAAGAGCCCCTGACCGGTTTCAGGTTTTACTGGGAGGCAGAGTGGAGCGGGGAGTTCTCAATCGGGGTGGCCTACAAGAGCATCAGCCGTAAAGGCAAGAACTCACACAGCCTCCTGGGTTACAACGACAAGTCGTGGAGTCTCCTGTGCTCTGACGTCGGGTACTCAGCCTGGCACAACAAAGTGGACAAAGACCTTCCAGAAGCTCCCAGAGCGACTCGAATCGGTGTGTACTTAGATCACGCAGGCAACACTTTGTCCTTTTATTCTGTGTCAGACGTGATGCAGCTCATCCACAGATTCAAAGCTGAGTTCAGTGAACCGTTGTATGCTGGTTTTGGGGTTGGATCATCAGTAAGTCTCTGCCAACTAAAACAGAATAACTGACTTAAACTTAAAAAAAAAGCATTTAGTGTAAGAAGTTAATTAGTTTTTGATGTTTGAACTTGCTTGGACAGTGGCTCAAGTATTTGAGTTTGTATACTGTAAGTCAGCAAGCTTCACTTTAACCAGGAAACTAATGGGAAAAGAAAAAAAACTGTGATTATTGAACTAATGTAAGTGATTTTGACAACCAATGACAGCAAAACTTCATTTTTTTTCTTTTTTGATGGCTGTCAGGTAAAAACATTACATACTCTTATATTAGCTGTTTATCTCATGAAACACTGCTAAAAGTACATTTTCTTGACAGAATATAAATCATGGTCAGAGGTTAACCCCTACATGTTATTTTTGTCAGTTTAGTTTTTAAGTGTATAGTATATGAAAGTTTTTTTTTCTTTGAAAGATGCCATAAAAGCAATTATAGTTAAAACTTTAAAGCTTATTCACTTAATAGTGATGATTCAAGTTAATAATTCAGGGAATAATTTAGTCAGCAAACACCGATATTTCATAGTCATGATATTTTTTTTTCATTTAACACAGCTGTTATTGTGTATTTTGCCTTTAATGAGTACCATGTATCACTTAGTGTCACATATGCTGTTTAAACTTTTTTACTTTCTGAATGACTGAATAAATACTTTCAAACACTTCTGTCTCTTGATCATCTATGTTCTTCACTTGTGTATTTTTAATTATAAAAATATGCTTAATGCCAGGAAGAAAAGCACCCATTTTCAAGTTTGTTTTTTTTTTTTTTTTTAATTTGTCTGGCACTGCAAATAAGTCAAAAAATAGTCTACAGACAGACAGTTTTATGCCAACATTTAGACACTAGAGGGAATCCTCGTCCTTGACAGATTTCCTGCATGTTTTGGGCATTTCTCTTCTCCAACACACCTGACTGGATTGAATGAGTAACTAACAGGTCTTGAAGACCTGCTAACAAGCAGGGAAACATCTACACATGCAGTACGGTGGAGCTTGAGGACCAGGATTGAGGAACACTGTACTAAAGGCAGACGTAGTTTATTCTGAGTAAGGTCTTTAATGTTTATTTCTATTTGCAGCGGTGGCAGAATTTGTCCTGTAACCATCTCAATCTCCCGTAGTCTCCTTGGACAAGAAACTTCACCCACCATGCCTGCTGGTGGTGGTCAGAGGGCTCAGTGGCTCTGGTGCATGGCAGCCCTGCCTCTGTGTGGCAGCTGTGGCAACAATGTAGCTCATCATCATTAGTGTGTGAAACGGTGAATGACCATAGTGAAGTGTGTTGGAGTCAATGGACCTGATTAAGCATTATACAAGTTCAGGTCATTTACCTTTTTTAAAAACAATAGTTTTACCTGAATGAATAGTCCTTTACATTTTATGTCCTATATTTTGTAACAAAAACAAGCCTGGTATATGGTGTTTTTTTATGAAAGTGATCAGCTATTTGTTTGAAGCAGACACCACTCTTTTAAATCTTTTTTCACATTTAAATCAGTCGGGTTCTAAATAAAAAGGAACCAAGCTTTGATCTGAATTCTCCATAAAAAAAACACTCCACACTCATTCACCCCTTTTCTGAGGTGCATCAGAAAGCAACTAAATCTAAATGGTACATAAAGATATCTATGAACAATTTCTTTAAGAAAATATGTAAATCTTACTAGAAAACACGTAAATGACTTAATTTACTCAACTCTGTTTAGTGGAAACAGTTGACGTAACTTGGTTAAATAACTTCAGCACGTTAAAGTACTTTTACTTCCCCAAATATTGTGAGCAGTTTTATAACTTAAGCACTTTTCTTAGCTTTGAAAGTCATTTTTACTCAATTCATTTTCTGCAAAAAGGATATTTTTTTACTTTTCCTCAGTTATTTCTTTAAAAGTACTTTATACACCTCTGGTAAAACACATCGCTTGACTATGTACAGTGAGGAAAAAAGGTATTTAGTCAGCCACCAATTGTTCAAGTTCTCCCACGTATAAAGAATAAAGATAGAGGCCTGTAAATGACATCATAGTTAGACCTCAATTATGAGAGACAAAATGAGAAAGCATATCTAGAAAAACATAGCAAGTGTCTGATTTTTTTAAAAGAATTTATTTGCAAATTACGGTGGAAAATTAAGTATTTGATCAATAACAATTTAATCTCAATACTTTGTTCTTTGTTGGCAATGACAGAGGTCAAATGTTTTCTGTAAGCACATAGGTTTGCCTTGAAAACCTGTGAACAGGCAGACTACTTCTCATTTCACCTGAAACATGCAGTTTTATCCTTCCTCCATTTGTAGCAATGACTGAACGTCTCTTCCTCACGTGTGTGCAGAGCAGCATCTGTGTTGGCCATCTAGTGGCAAACCTTGTCATTACAACAACCCAATGCCACTGAGACACTCTATATCAGAGGTGCCCAAAGTGGGGCCCGTGGGCCAAATTTGGCCCGCCAAGCCATTTGATTTGGCCCACCAGCAGTTATCCTGGTTACTAGGTTGTAATCGTCTGTCTTATGTAGAAATACTATATTTGCACTTAGTTTTTTCAAACATTTGTCCAACTATAGGTACAAGGAGCTGTAGTCAGATAGTCTTAACTTATGGTGCTCACTTTATCTTTGAATTTTGTTAAGATTAAACTTAAAATACAAGTAACTTCAAGAGATATTTGTGAGATTTAAGTCCATATCTAGATTTGCACATCTTAAAAGACCACATTTACTCAAACTTTAAATTATGAAAAGTCCCATGAGCCTTTTCTGCCCGAGCATACGTTGAATTTTCTCCATATCCATGGGCTGAAAAAAACAAACAAGAAAATGTGGGCAACCACACTGGCTGCTAGCTCAATCATAAAAAATACAACTTTACTTGAAATATTTGCATTTCATGTATTATATTATTGCATTTGGCCCACCACCTTCAGATTGATTATAAGTTTGGCCCTCTCAGGGAAAATGTTTGGGCACCCCTGCTCTATATGTTCTTGTAATATTCAGAAATAATTAAAAAGCTGCTTTGAGTGCTTTTTAAAACAAAACTATTTCCCCAAAACTATACCCCCCCCCCCCACACACACACCTATTGAAGTCTGGAAATCCTGATACAAAATTGCATTAATCATATGCTTATTTAACACAGATACACATTTTGGACATGTGTGTGTGTGTGTGTGTGTGTGTGTGTGTGTGTTGAAACATCAGTTGTGAACAGAAACCAGTGCCCTACTTTTATTTTACTGCCAAAATTAAACTAGCTATAATTGCACAGTGAATTATAATCACAGGTAAAAATCTGTGTATTTGACCAGTTTATTTCTTTCGTTACACTTCCGTTCACATTACAAAGTCGCAAGAATGATCTTAACCTTACACTTTTTCTTACATTCTACCTTAATTGAACCTTGTTCCAGTAATCCTAATGTTTTATGTCTGAACCTCCCAACTTAAAAACAAAAAGGTTTAAGCAATCTGATATTTCAGAGAAAGCAAGAGGCCGTTACCCTCAGTATGTTAAGAGCTTTTGTGCCAAAAAGGAACAGAAGAACTTCTCATCTCACATTCTCTTTGACCTTTTTAAATATTAAACAGAAGGATTGATGTTTCACATGCTTCTACTTTCCACACAGAAGTGAATACAACTTTTGTTTTATCTGTGTTTTTATACCTGTAATGCACTATATTATCAGTGTTTACATATTTAAAATGCACGACTGGTCACAAACCACACCCTTGTCTTCGTCAATCCCTTTAGGCTGTTAAAAAAAGGCCATAAACTTTATTTCTGCTGCTTTCAGGCAGTTTACCACACACCTGTTTCTCTGAAGTTGTTTAAAAAATGCACGCATTGTGAACTCTACAGGAAGAGACAATTCAAGGACAAAATACAATAAAAAAAAAACAAATTGCATGTAGATATTTTCTCAAACTATCTTTTAATTCATGGGTCTCTGATTCATCCTTATTATTTGGTTTGTAAAGTCATAGTAAAAATCAAATCTTTGTTAAAAACTGAAAATTGATATAGTGACTTTAATGAATTTGTTAGATATTTAAGTCAAGGAAAAAGACAGACAACACATAACATCAGAATTTCAATGTTATTTTGCAGTAACCAAAAAAAAATAAAACTCTGCATTTCGTATTTAAGTTTTAAAGCATACAGATAAGCATCTTTCTAAAATGAATTACTCTACTCATTACACTGCTGTTACGTAACATCTGGTGAAATTGGATAAAATAATAACAATAATAATGTGCGGCCATGAGACATGAGATAATTTTGAGCAGTGTCTCATTGTGAGAGATACAAAGACATGGAGACAGATTATATATGAATACAAGGTTTTCGTTTGACTGTTCAAATGTACTGCACACTTATTATTTTATTTATTTTTTGGCGTATGTTTAATCCAAACAGCATACTTCCATGGTTCAATCTAAATGGTTCATTTTCATAGTAGCCTTCTAGTATTTACGAGGTGACACTGAACCACCTAAGTGTGTGTTGGGTAACAGATGTTTTTTACTGTGTTCCTGAACGTGACGTAACTTTGACTTATTCATTCCGGAGTTTAATTTAAATTAAATTATTTCTAACTTGCCCATGTTCACAATCATGGAAATGATTTATATAATGATGTCGTGGCCACGCATTTTTTTAAATCTAATATTATTGGACTGGCTCCGTGCTGCAGCTACAGTGCTTTTTTAATTCTTGAAAGTTTAAAAACTTCAGCTGTTGAGTTTAATGGGTTTTCATGTTTTTTTCTGATGCACTAAAACTAAATATGTCATCGATCTGAGCTCCCACTGTCAGTCCATTGTAACTGAGTTTGTTTTCTGTCAAGCAATAAATAAAATAAATAATAAAAAAATATTGCACCTCTAACAAACCAAATAATACCTGAATATAAAGACTTTCTGACAGCTTCAAAGTATGGCTGGTTACAGGACAGTTCTGTTTCTGAACCCTTTTGCAGACAACATTCTGACAAACTTATAAATCTATAAAAAAAAAAACAAGAAATTTTACATTTCCGCGCAATCAGTAAGAAAAACGACTCAAGGACTGACACGTTTAGGAGGGAAAAAAGAACATAGTGTTCATATGATTGTGCTTTAGATGTTACACAATACAAAAGCAAAAAGATAGACAAAAAAGGTATTTAATGTCTCTCCATCAGAAAACTTTACCATATAGACTATCCATCCATCCATTGTCTTTACCCACTTATTCCTTCAGGGTCACAGGTGCCCATATCCAGCAGTCACAGTTCAAGGGGCGGGGTACAGGGCCTTATAGACTAACCCAACAATAATGCAACAGTTATTATCACCAGCAACCACCCCAGCACAACAGCTACATAACACTTCTGGTTATGTTTTATAAGAATTAAAGAAATCATTATTATCAGTAACAAACATGCTGACACAGCAACAACGTTGCCTCCGTCTACGTGTTTCATACTGGGATCAAAAAAAGTTCGGAGACTCTGAAACAGTTTGCAGTTCTGATCAGTTTTTGGTATTTTGGTGCTCTGCAGATTGTAGACCATGTTGCACCACGACTCATCCGTCAGAACACGTGTCACTTTGAAAACCTCGTAGGTAGGAATGAGCACCTGCCCCTCTTGGTCCCTGCTGGAGTAGTGTGTGATGTCGGCACCGAAGCACGTGTAGATCTCAAAGCAGGAGACGTTGCCGTCCAACTCAAACGACTGCTTGCTTGAAACTGCCCAGGTTAAAGCACCGAAACGCACGAATGCGTTCATGACGTTCCGGTCAAAATATTGCCACGTCCTGTGGTACACGGTCCTGCAGGGCGTCTGGTTGTTATTCAGAACTTGGATGGTTTCCGTCAAATAGAAGTAGAAATAGTGGAACGTAAATTTGTTCGTGCTGTATTCGTGTTTGCCTGTTTTTAACGCTCTGCTGAAGTTCTGTCGGATGGGTCCGTAACTTGTGAACAGGTACACGGCTGTGGAATGATCGTCCCTCAGGTGCTTGTGCACGGGCTTCTTCGCAGCTTTCTCAACTAAACTCCACGCAATACTGAAGGGTTTATTGGCGTGCCACTCGAACACGCCGAACAGTTCGATCATGGAGACGCTTTCAGACCTGCAGCCGGCGTACATGTCATCAACGGAATCTGTGGCCATGTCCAGAGGCAGGAGAGTCTTGGGTTCCTGCGATGACAGATTAAATGCAGTAGAGCAAAATCAAGAATTGTAAAACCATAAAATATTTAATGGTGCTCGTTGTCCTTTGGTTCATTTAATAGAGGAAACATGATCTCACCTCTGCCTCTGCAGGTCTCTGAAGCCACCAGTGTCTCAGAAACAGGAGCACTACCAACAAGAACGCACAAAGAACGACCCAGTCTCTCAGGAGTCTGACTGACTGGAACCTAAACTCCATTTCTGACAGGAGAAATCATCAAATAATCACTGACTTTGATTTTTAAACATGGACTTGCATGCACATGCCTGAAAAACTAGCTATAACAAATCTCGACGGATTGACACGAGACTTCTCCTTTATCAAACAAACATTTTCAGCAACAAATTAAACAGGACTTCTGACTGACCTTCGGTTTCTTCTGCGTATGGTGTGGCATTCCTTTCAGAGAAGTGTAGAGCACAGACTGTGTTGCATAACAGGAAACACAGGTACGATTACACAGGTTGCACTTCCGTGAATGCCTCTGCTCCGAGTCCTTATCTCACATGAGGCTTGCATAGAATTGGAAGTTTGAACTGCTTAAGAATTAGCAGCACAAATGGTCTACCATTGCTTTTCTCTCTGCAAATTATTGTTCATTTTTCAGTTCATTGTAAAAATATTCACGTGCTACTTGTTTGCATGTTCTACTTTTAACTAAACGCTTTGCATGATTTTACTTCCGTATTCAGACATCACTGTTTGCCCTGCCAGAGAGAGGATCCCACATGTAAAACCAGCCAGTCCTGTTTGGTAACAAACTTAGAGGAGAAACAAAGTTACGTCGTTCAGGCAAAAAAACACAAAGACAGATAAGGTTGGAAACTCCCTTTTAACAAACGCTCAGGGTAAGTGGGATATTTTTCTAAACTGCTCATTGTTTTACAAAATAAATGTTCTCTCCTGCAGCTGTGCTTTCATAAATATGTCGAGAATGTTATCCATGTTTTTGGTGCCTGAAAAGAAGAGTCTGTAACTTGTTGCTAAAATGATAAAAAAAGGAAATAAAATAGGCACAAAGCAGAAACCTTATGAAGTTTTGTATTAGTTCTGACAATATATCAGAATCTGAAATGTTGTTGTGGAGCAACATTTTCTATACTCAGTGTCTGAATTGCTTTTGTCCTTAATATATTTTTAGTTTTAAAGTGCTAGAGCATACAGGCAAATGTTAGTGGCGAATCGTACTGTTGCTTTCAAATACTTATACAGGGTGAGTCGAAAGTCACAGGACACCATTTTATTTCAGGAAAAAAAGGGAAAATAACATCTGAATACCCCAGCATTGAATGGGTGAGGGGGGCTGTCTCTGGAACAAATTGTCCGTGATCCAGCCAAGCTTATATTCTGGATAGAACCAAAAACAATGGTTGCCAAAGTGGTGGGGAGCCCCCCCCCACCCCCACCCCCACCCCGATGGTGCGGGGCGTTGAATAAAAAAATAGATCATGCTCAAACACTACTATAATGCATATGGTTTTGATTAGGCACCCAAATAAACACAAATTAGTAAAACTTTTGTTAAACTAATATTTTTTCCTCTCAATGAGTTATGTTTTTAAATCCATTTTGCACAAGTGGCACGTTTAAAAATAAAATTTAAAAAATTGATAATGTTTTTTATGAGCAAATTGGGGCCCAGCAGAAACACTGTGGTAAGATGAGACCCCCTCACACATTACCTGCTGAAGTATTCAGATATGTCATCTTCCCTCGTCTTTCTGAAATAAAAGGGTGTCCTGTGTCTTTTGACTCACACTGTATTACATGAATATGGACACACATTTGTCCGTTTTTTTTTATAATTAGAAAAAAAAATTGCAAATGTGTAATCAGGAGTCAGGCCTTTCCTTCACTCCCAGAATAAAAACCCTTTAAAAAGTTTAATTTTCACATCCAAATCAAACCATCTTCATCACGTTTTGAGTTACTTTATAAATTTCTTTTTCAGATGAAACATGCCACCGCCCCAGCAGAAGCAAACGTGTCAGAAAACATGTCTCCTTACCTCCTGTGTTTCTTTGGAGGCTCTCCTAATATTTTCAGTGATTTATCTGTCACTTAGCTGGGAGGATATTGTTGGAGAGGTATGTCTTGCTTTGTTTTAAACGGACTTTAAAATATAATAATTTTGAAAGGACTTAAGGCCCTGTCACACCGTGTTTTAGACAACTTATGCAGACTTATCAAAATATTATGAATAAATTGATTTTAAAGGTTTTATATTTGATCTAATCGTTAACAATAAAGTATGTATATGTAAAAAAAGGGCCTCTAGTGTTTTTTTGACTTTGTCAGTGTAAATTTTCACAAGTTGGCATAAGTTGTCTAAAACGTTATAATTTGACAGGGCCTAAAGGCTTTTCCTCACAATTAGTAATTACTTTTTTTCTGATTATTTATTGTACACATGCAGAGACAATGTACAGCATTAAACCAGTTTAAAAATAAATATAAAGCTACTTAATTACATTGTACAGAAGAGAAGGGGTTTAACATAAGAGTTTTTTTGTTCCTTTCATTCTTCTGTATTAGGTTACTATTATTATTGATATTGGTTATTGTTATCTTACTATCATTATAAGCATTAGTTGTTTTTTTCTCGGTGGTCATTTAAGATTGTCATCAGTATATTTTATTATTATTATTAATATGAAATCATATATTTTCTGTTTTTCCTATGTTATGAGTGAGTTTGTAATCATTTTGTCTGTGTAGTAATTTGTTTGTTGGCACAGTATGTTGAACAGGCAAGAATACCACAACATGGTTTCAATTGCACATTTGTAAATCAGTGCATCTGCAAGTAAAACACTTCTTTAAATTGAGATAAGGGGTAGGATTAAATAAGTGCTCACTTATTCCTACTCCCGTTCAAACAGAAAAGTAGTGGTATTTGGGTTCTTGGTTACGTATGCATATGTTTTATATTTTTTATTCTGGTTGCTTGTTTTTTATTTTTTAAAATCTGTTTGAAATAAAATAAGAAAAAAACATTTCATTAACCTTTTACAAAGAGACCAGCTTATAGCAAAAAATGCTAATTTCCACTTGCGGTCCCTAGACAGGTTGTTGGTAATCAGTGATTACAGATAATAAATAATTTAACCGATTATGAAACAAACAGTACAAAACACATCATACAGTATATTTCATTATCCACATTTCACTAAAAACAAACAAACTTCAATCATACAAACAATTTATAAAACTATTTCTTTGCCTTCATGTAGAATGAGTTTGTCGTGGTATGATTCACCAAGAATGCAGAAACACGTTGGAATAAATGCACAGAAAGTCTGCGCGTATGGTCGTCAAAATGATTTAATTCTGAGCAACAACACAGCAGGCAGTCAATCAGGAAATCTGCTGAGTTGTGGCTGGCGCGTCAGCAGAAAGCAGCCAATAATATACATCATGATAACATCATGTGACATGCTTATAACCAATCACAGATTGCCAACTGTAACCATCTAACCAAATGACAGGACTGTCAGCCTGAAAACACCTTATCAGAAATTAAAGAGGTCATACATTACTGGAGTCATGAAGTCTGGTCGATAAGAGTAAAACAGCCGAAAACTGGTTTTAATAAGATATGATTACTGGACAGTGTCAAGGTAGAACAGATATACATAATTAATACATAACAAGTTCAAATCTGCTTTTTTAATAATCTAATTTTTTGCCAAATGTGCAAACATTTTATGACTACATGTTGTAATCTCATTTGCCACAGTAATGACCCATTGTGCCAAAACAGAAGGCAGTTTTATTATAAGCAGTCCTACATTTCGACATGCTGCACTCACCTATGGAGGTCAACCTTATCCCTCTAATTTTATTTGCTCTCAAAGTCACAAACCTTAAAGGTGGAGCAGTAATGTCATGGAGAATTTTGTTCATTTTAATTAAGCAAAACAAGGACATGGATTATAAAAAAAACGTTTTATTTCTGATCTCCTAGTGAGTGGAGCCATCTGCTGGGAACCTTTTTAAAATACATCTTTCCCCATTCTTTCCCCAGAGTTCTACTCGAAGTCTGACCCGTGGCCTTAGTGGCGACATGCTTGATGACTGTGGATCGAACGTTTTTGTTCTGGACGACGAGGTTGCAAGGAAAAAATGGGACACCTGCTCAGCCAATTTTAGTCGAGCCCGGAGCAGTTCAGAGCGAAACCTGAGCAGACCAACACACACACACATGGAGAAGCATCACTCGCTGGCTTTGTACCTGTTCACGAGTACAATGCTACAACCTGTTGATAACTTTGAGTCTGCAGAAAGAGCTTCAGAACTAAACAGGATGTTTGAGCCTTTGTCCCTTTATTCCTCCCTGAGTCAAGCTGTTCAGATCTTAAAACACGATCAGATGACATGTCTGAAAACAAACTACAGAACAGAAACTGTCTTACAGCACAACATCTCTGGCAAACAAGCTCGATTCAGCACCTTTATTTTAGGTTATGACCAGTGGAATTTTGCTGGAAACGTTTCGTGTTTCGAGATACACTCATGTTTTGGCGCCAACGTAACGCCATACTCTTCCTTAAAACACATGAACCAAGTCCTGATCCCATCATACGAGGTTTTTATGGTCACTCAAGTCCTGAAACCAACAGAAATATGTAAAGTCACCTTTAAACTCAGAAGCAACATGAACTGTGTTTATGACAGAGAGAACAACAAATTGCATTCAATAACTGCATTACCAATGGAGGGAGTCTGGCTCATTTTTACAATTATTTGTCTCGTAATTATGTCTGTTTTACTACCCTGTGTTGTTTGGAAATTACATGATAAGATGAACAAAGCCTACAGAGTTTCATCTTTGTAGCACAACAATTTAACTTTAGTTTACTTTTCATTATAAATAAGAGAATAAAATAAAAGCTATGTAAATAAACAAAAGAATTGAAAAACATTTTCCCCCTTTATTTAATTTTCCATTCAGTGTCATTGTAGGACATAGTTCTCACCATGCAATCAAGCATGCTGGAAGTTTACTGCTAAATATGGTGGACAACAAAGTGTAAGTGCTTTTATCTATACCCCGATTTAGCAAAGTGGAAAAAAAAACTGTTTATTAAAGCGTAGCAAGTTTGTAATTGCAGCTGAAAGTACAACATCCAGCAGAGGATGAACTTTGAACCAAATAACATGAGTACTTGACCAATAATGGTGTCTTTACTTTTACATAAATTTACTAAATTACGTTTGTTAAGTTTGTTTTTGGCTTATTAATAAACTATAAAATTAGTTTTAAACGCACCCCAAAACAATCAAACAAAATGAAAAGATTTACAGTAAGTGGGGCTTTTGAAGACTGTCTCCAAATCAAATTCAACTCATGGCCCACCACGCTTTCTTTTTTTTTTTTTAAGTCTGTCCCTGCTGTTGTGGAATCGATCAAAATGTTACTGGTTTAGGGAATCTCCCCTTATTGGATTAGAAACCTCTACATTTAAAATACAATACATAAATAGAGAAGAATTAATCTTTAACCACAAGACTAATATTTAATTAGCACAAAAAAGTAAAGAAATTATTGCTTGGTAGATTTCTCTGTTCTGCATTTTTACAATTAAATGTATACCGTACTTGTGCCAAGTTTAGATTATGTTGTGCATTTTATTTCAACTTTTTGGTTTCTAATTTCTTACAGATAAGTTAAATGGGCAATATCATGTAAAATCAACTTTTTTTGAGTTTTGTATCATGTTATAATGTTATCCTCTCATAAAAAAACATGCCCAAAGCCTTGCCTTGACTCATTCATGCATGTTTGTGAAATCCTGCAGTGTTTTTAGGCAGCCATGCTGAGGAGCAAAACGACAGGTGGGGACCAGAAACGCCTTTTGGGACCAGAAACGCCCCTGGGGCGTGTCTTTAAGCTGAGATTCCTCATGGCGGAGCGCACCTCCCCACCCCCCACACCCCACCCATGACTCCTGCAGGCTCTCGGGTGAAACTGAAAGTGAAACTCAAACTGTCTGCTGAGCTCCTTACACTACTTC